CACGTTTATTGGATCCCTGTGCAAAAGTCTAACATTTCCGATCTGTGAGAGAGTGCGGGCGCGTGGGCAGGTGATATATTATTATGCATTACCTTACAATTGATTGCACGAATCACATATTACTCATTACGAGATAGGCTCTCCACCATTCGGCTTATTAGGAAAGGAATCATGACTAGGTTTTGCACGCTTATAAATCATTTTGCAATTTCATTTCGAGAAAAAATACTTAATTAACAATAAATATCCCGGCCATCGACTTTCTATTGTGATACCATGCTTATGGTTTACTTGCGAAAATCTTTTATGTTATTTATGGTCTGTCTTTAGTTATTTAGTTTGTGTGGGATGATAAAATTGTAACATTATAATATTTTTGCGCAATCATAATATTTCCATCATATCTGGACGTCCAATCACTGGATTGGCATGACTTAGACATTCTAGGTACTACCAAAAATTTTATGATGAGGAATAGGTGCAGATATAAAAAAACTATTTTATGTTTGTCAATACACGAAGAAGTTTATCTTTTTGCCAGAAAACTCGATATGCCAATTTTAGGTTTTATTGACGTTTCAAGTCATTTTAAATCGTTTGAGACCAAAATTTTAAAATATATATGTATGTTTGTATGTAAGCCATAGTTTCACCTTCGAAACAAATCAACTTTACCCGCGCTTTCTCAAAAATGGCTAGATTGATTTGAAACATTTGAATTAAATAACAAATTGATATTAAACTGATGGTGGTGTATGGCATCATGCCTTAAGGCAAATTGCTAGAACTTCCCGTACCGTGATAAAATTCGAGGAATATTAATTGTTCTCAAATAGATTATTATAATTACTGTTACTTTTATATTTTTACAGAAAAGTAATTAAACAAAACTCTATCAGTCGAATATAAAATGAAAGAAATAAACTGAGTTGCAAAGTTAAAATTTTTTTGTTTCAAATATATAAGTGAGGTTTAGAACTTAAGCTAGAATTAAAATTAAAATCCGAATCATTTTTAATATCGAAAAAAAAAAAAATTTAAAATTAAAATAAAATATTCTTTTCCCAAAAGCAATCGTTTCGTCAATACAAGCAGAAAGTTTTATGAATCATTCGTGAAGAAATGTAAAAGTTTTCAATTTAGATTTTTGGACGATTACAATAACTGACCTTAGAGGAAGTTAATTAAATTAAATTTGGTCTCGATAAGGATTCATGTTGATTTGTCTTTCCCGACCTAAACTTTTAGCCTAAACATGTAAAAGTTTGCATTTTAATAACTGGGCGCCTGAAACTTTTTTTACTTTTTTTATTGATATTTTTATGTAAAATATTGAATTTTATATAATTTGTTTTCACATAATTTAAAACTAATTCATAGGTGTTTTGTAAATTGCACAAAAGTGCAATTTTCAAAAACTGTTCGAAACATATCCGAAATTGTGCTAATTATAGTTTTTGATAAAGGTGTGCTGCGCCATTTCTTTGAAAATTATTGTTAAACTTCTTTGGCGATTTTAATAAAGCTTTGCATAGTGAGAGTTCATGAACATATTAAAGTACTATCTACGAGAAAATTATTTAAGAAAATTTATTAAAATTTTGAATAAGGATGCGTCAAAAGTTCAAAATTCTATCGTCAAAATTTGAGAATATACAAAATTTTAATTCTTATGGTTTAACTCAATGTCACTTAAACCTAGTTAATTGAAATTTTTTAATTATCTCAATATTTCAATAAAAAAAACATACTTATATCCGATGATAATAATTTATTCTATTTTTTCCACCTGCCAAGAAATTTCCGATTTATTTTAACAATAAGCCCATCGATAGAATCTCGATATCATTCCATTGTTGTGGTTGATATTAAATTGAATTCATATTTTGTTAAAAGAATGACTTGTTATATTCAGATGTAGATAACCCGCTTGTTATAATAAATATAATTTCCATACAATCGGTTTCTAAGATGGATTATAATCATTTTTAAACGGTTTAGAATTAAATCTGTGACATATGAGTAACACACACATTTAAGTGCAGACATATATGAAAGATCATTGAAAATGTCATTTTATTAAATTGTTGAATAATGAAGAAAACCAAAATTTTGCTTGGGTTAGCTGCCAAGAGGACTTTTAGGAAACTTGGTGCATTTTGTTTTGGAATAAAATATAAATAAATTAGTATCTCAACACGTTTTTGTATACGTGTATGTATTTTATATATGGAAGAAACCTCATAATAAGTTATTGGTACATTTACTTCTGGCAGATTGAAATTCATACGACTGCATAATCGATCATAAAACAAGAGTCGATTGCACAATATATTTAATGGCCAAGTTACATGTGTAAAAAGATGTATATACAATTTACCATAATTGCAAATCGTTGTTGATTCATTACATCAATTAATTTTCCTAAATGTCGATTCCTAAATTGGTTTCAACAAGCAAAAATTTACATATACTTACTATAAATTCATATTGATTAAATATTCAATATTTATCATAGAAAATAGTTGTTGCAAGAATATTTTGTTATATTTTTGTATTTATCATTACGTATATTTTATATATCATAAATCACCACCAACAGTCGCTATCTTTCAACTGTAATATGTTGTTGTTAAACAACATTTGGAATCCTTTTCACACTATCATCTTATATAAAAAATAGAATAGAAATAAAATTATAAAAAATATTTATTTGGATAGTATAGAGAACGTGATGGAAACACTTTTCAAATAATAATCAATCATCACCTATACGTAGAATTCTGTCATAAAAACAATAAGCATCCAAATTTTGTGTAAAATTCATCTTTTGGCCATTAGAGAAATTTTAACACAAACGAAAAGTATTTATTATATGCCATCATAAAACTTTGGAAGAATCATAATTACTTTTTGGTACTTATTTGGTACTTATATTCTTTATGATGACTATTCTTGAGATGAGATAATACTCAAAATGAAATTAATAAATATTCATATAAAATTTCTATCTTTCATCATATTAGTCAAGTATTAATTTACCAATTTACCTCTCCATGGGCGTTTTTTTTACATAAAAAAATTAATGGAATCAAAAATCAGTAATTAATTAGTATTTTAAGCCTATATGTGCAAATGAAAACACAAAATTGGTTTAAACCAATTTTCTGGTATCGTGTTTTTTGAAAATGTTACTTCAGGTTGAGAAGTCTAGCAAAGGTCACGAATATTGAAATTGGTTATCTTGAGAATGTTATAGAATCAAAATTCATACTTAGAAAATACAAAAAGCCATAATTATTTCGCAATATAACGAAAAATTTGGAATGTTATTTGGATCCTGAAAGTAATGCTGGCACATCGAGGGTTATAAACACATTGTTTGCAGAATTTATACCTAGTTTTGAAGTATTGCTTAGAATCCAGCCCAATCTACTTGAAAATGTTTTGAAGATTCATTAAAAAATATTAGTTTTACGATTTGAAAACGCGATTTACAATTTCATTTAACGCTGTGCGGCTTTTATCAAAGCAATTTGAAACTCGTGGGCGTGATGTTACTAAAGTAATAAACTGTTTCTTGCGGCACGTTTTGACTGATGAATCGTATATTTGTAGCTAGAATGCCTTTCATTAGCTACCGATATTTTAGAAGAATAATTTAAAGTTATCCATTAACCTAGAGAATATAAAGAAATAATTGCAAACATCAGAATGTGGTTTGGAGAGCGCTGGGGAGCATACAGCTATTTTTGATATACTATTTTTGTATATATGCTATGGTCTATATTTTATATAAGATGATAGTGTGAAAAGGATTCCAAATGTTGTTTAACAACAACATATTATAGTTGAAAAAAAGCGACTGTTGGTGGTGATTTATGATATATAAAATATACGTAATGATAAATACAAAAATATAACAAAATATTCTTGCAACAACTATTTTCTATGATAAATATTGAATATTTAATCAATATGAATTTATAGTAAGTATATGTAAATTTTTGCTTGTTGAAACCAATTCGGAATCGACATTTAGGAAAATTAATCGATGTAATTTGCAAATAATTATGGCTTTTTCGAAGATGAAGCATGAATCTTAATTCTAAAGAATGATGAAATGATATTAAAAATGAATAAATCAATATTTCTTAATGTATATCTTTATGTAAAATTGTATATAAGTTTGCAGTCTGATAAATGAAATATATTCAGGTGTTCATGAAGTGAAAACTAAGGGGCGCAATATCCTTTTTAAAGAACCGGGGGCAAGGGTTGGAAACCACTGCTTAATCTATAGCATCTGAAACAAATTTAGTATTATTATTATTGCATTAATGTATTCAAATAACAATTGTTTTTGTATTATTATTGTTTTGTAAATTTTTGTTGATTTCCCCAATAAGACCAAATTTGGCAATAGTATTTTGGGCAACGTTGACATTTTCGGCAACGATCGGCCAAGCCATTTTTTGTAATTAACTTTGAACTACTTTGAACCGAATTTAAAAATTCAATGACCGTTCGAAATCGCTTTGATTGGTTGGCATTAATCGGCGAAGCCGTTTCTTCTATGATATAATAAATATTGACAAAAAGACGATTTTTTAATTATATTAGATTAGATTAAAATTATATTTATGTCTACGATTAGCGGTTGAATTATAAAAATTCGCCAAAGTTCGGTATTGCGCCTCGCGCTATAGACGATTTTAATCAGAATCTATGATTTTCGTGCATATGTAGGTTCTATGTTCTGTAAATAGCTACTGATTGCAGTTGACGTCCAGACTTAAATAAGATTTAATTTATACAATTACATATGTTTGAAAATTTTTATTCGGGAATCAAAATAATTATTTCTTAGTAAAAGCGAGAATTTTAATTATGAGACAATTATTTAATTATGAACCTTTTACCAAATTAGTTGAATCTCAATTCTTATTAAGTTGATTATGTATATTACATATCGAAAAGTTCATGCAGTTTAAGGAAAAATGCTGCTTACAACTAGTTTTCCTTCTGATAGTGTTACTTTTATGTTGGTAATTTTTTAAATGATATTTATTATTTTTATAATTTCAGACGAACGATCTCGATTCCTACAAGCACGACTTCGAGCGGCTGCACGGCTACGCGCCCGCCGGTTATAGCGACTCGAACGGGAATGAAGCGACGAACACGGCGGCCGGGAACTGTTCGGCCGGCGGAAACGATGCGTTTATGCGACCGCCTCTCTGGGAAGATATCGCTTCTAGCATACAGAATATCGATCCTGAAAATGCTGACATGCTCACTGTGGCCCACGTTAAGGTAAATACAATAGATTACAAAACAAAAGTATTCATTAACCCTCCTTCGGTCGGCGTGATCTGGCCAGACTTTTTTCGACTTCAATTTAAAAAAATACTTCTGGTAATCCTATCGACTTGAAATTTCTTGACTTTTCCTAACATTTTATTAGCTGTCGATCAATAAAAAAATCAGGGCGAAAAAATGTACAGAAGAATAATTATAAGGATATTAACTTTTTTATACTTCGAACTGTCGGAAAGGTCTGTCTAGACCACCCGTACATTTTGTATGAAATATACGCTTTTTGATATATGTAAACCTGTATTTTGTCTTTTTTCATGGTATTTTCTATTCAAACTGCGTTGTATATATTCTTTGCTATGTGTTGTAACATGAATGTTAGTATTTTCATGACGAGAGTTCCATGAAAACCTACCAAACTTATTGGTAATCGCAAACACTAAAAATCGGATGAGTAATGCACACATTATCAACAATTTTTCTACCCGTACTGCGTTCGAAATTTTTTTTTTGGCAAACCTGTAGTGAACTTATATTTTCACTTTGAGTTTTACAGCTCATTTCAAAGGCGACGCACCTCATTTCGTTTTCATTTGAATTTCACATTCATTTCAACGCGCTGAAAAAGAATAAATATTGTTTTTCATTGATATAAAACAGAAAAATTCACAAAAAAGCAACGATTTTTTATATTTCTTGATTTTTTTTACATAATATAATATGTAATATTTTTATTATAAGCAAGCTCAACACATGCAAAAGACGGTAAGAAAAAGAAAAAATCAAAACTATAAATATTTACCACTAATAATCGTTAATATATAAGACACCAAAAACTTATTTATCCCATATAAATGCATGTAAAATGAATGGCGATCCAGCCAGACCTTTCCGACCGTTCGAAGGTGAAAAAATATCCGACCGACGAAGGGTTAATAATTTTCTAAATTTTCATTTCCATCAGGTGGAAGAACTGGATGATCTCGACTCCGGACAGCTGCCTAGTCCTTTGCTGAGTCCTTTAGAAATAAAAACTGAAAAGAATTCGCAACTGCATCATCTCGACGTGTCTCACTTACTTCAGTCACATAATAATAATAATAATGAACATCATCAGACGCAAAATCACTCTTTGCATTCATTGCAAACGACGCACGATTTAAACGCAGCACAGGGCGGGTTACCCTATCATGGAATGAATACTCATTCGCAACATCAAACACATCAACAGCAGCAGATATTCTGTAATCCTTTGTTGCAAGTAAGTGAAGCATACATATATTGTTTCTAATGATCAGGGATTATTTGGAATGTTTTATTTTCAGAATTACTCGAATAAACAATATGGAACACATAGTCCGCCTTATCCAGCAGGTCCTGTATCTCGGCTCATGTATTCTTCGCCCCTCACACCGCCTAGTTCCGACCCTGGCAGCCCAGGAAATACTTTACAAGTATTAACTTGAACTTTTTCGATTATTGTTTCAATGATTATAGAGATAATACTATGTTGTTAACATTTGATATTTTACATTTTATTTAATTATGAATTATGATGACACCTTGATTCGACATTTTAGCCCCCAAGAAGGACCCCACCGCCGCCTTATCCCGTACCAGCGCACATGCGCCTTCACAATCCCCACGTGCATCGGCATTTGCAAACCTCAAGTCACCATCAAGGATCATCACATAATCACCACCAAATGACAACACAAGGTCATCAACATAATGCAACAACAGGGCAAACTGTACCTGTCGGACATCACACATCACAAGGACCTTTGCAACAAAATACGAGTCATCAACATAATCAATCCATGGCTCAAGGTCACCAACAAACTAATCCAGGACATCAACAACGGAATGGTGGACAAACTGTTCCTACGCCGAGATACACTAGAAGGAATAACCCAGAATTGGAGAAACGGAGGGTTCATCATTGTGATTTTTTAGGTACAGAGTAATTGATTTATTATTATTGAATATAGTATATTCTCTAAGCCGACAGTTTAAATTATGTTATATAAATTTCCAATTAGTTTATATTCTCTATTTATTCTTCAGACTTTTTTAAATTATATCTTTCTTTATTTTTAATTTATTTCTTGTGTTGTTTTGCGCAACCAAACTGATTACAAAATTTTCTACGGACTCATAAATGAAATTAAAATTTTAAGATACTAACGGCCCATAAAATGATTATTAATAATGATAATTAATTTAACAATTGCGGCTTTATGCGTTTGATAAACACTCGTTTTGCGCCTATGCGCCTATGCGCCTATCACACTTTCTCTTTGCAAGTTGAACAATAAATCCTTTATTATTATTTATCTGTTTAATTATTAATAAAATGAAATGCTGTAGTGGCCATGAGTTACGCACCTTTTAAGGAAACGCGGCTAGCTTTGTCTTCAGAAAAAAATCCAAATAAGAAACCGTTGTAGAAGATAATTAACCAGTTGAAAATTAAATTATCATTTGAAGAACTTTTAAGCATTTTAATATTGTAGCTTTGAATCAGGAAGTCAAATGTAAAATACGTCAAATGATAATTTATATTTATATTGATTTTTTTACAGGCTGCACAAAAGTTTATACTAAAAGTTCGCACCTGAAAGCTCATCAAAGGATACATACGGGTGAGTGAAATTTTTTAAATTCTTGTAGTTGATGATCATTATATTTTATTAAAAGTTAGTAGCCTAAAAATTCAGATAAACAAAAATCACAAGAATATGTTATTGATGATTAGAAAGTTGATCTCATTATTTATTTTATTAGCGGATCTAAATCATATAATTTGAGCTTTAACATTATTGAGTGGATTTTTAACTAATTTAATTTGCTCTTTACTTCTTCAAAATCATCGATGAAATGGCAATGCCGATAGTGACGTTTTGAAATGTTGCAACTTATTTATAAAAACCTCAAGAGTATATTTGACCTATTTGAAAATGCGTTCAGTGTTCGCGTGATAATTGCAAATCAATACAACCTGGCACATCATTGAGATGTCGATTCGAATAAGATAAAGTCTTACAATCTGTCCATCAAAACAAACGCATATGCGAATAAGTAATTTATTCACATACTTTTGTAATGACTAAAGTACTGCACACTATAAAAGATTATAATAAAAGACTTAGCTTATTATTGAAAACTGGAGGAAAACATACTTGTTGTGTCACAAATTGTCAAAATATTTTCTGTTTACAGGAAAATATTGTAAAGACGGCTTGTGTAGGTAGATAGACAGCCGATAATCACGTTAAAGGGAATGTATGCAAACAATTTTATTATTAATATATTTTGTCAAAAACATGATTCGTAAATGTTTACCATTATAATATCTTCAAATTTGTAACTTGTACTCAAATTACCTTTTTGGGCTATTCAAGTTAATTATTATGTTTCGCCAAACACATGATTCCTAAAGTTTTTAAAATTTATCATCAATTTTGTCGAAAATATCTTGTTTTGCATCTGCGATATTAATCCGTATCATATATTCTCCTGTTTCATACATTAACTCATTAAGTATGTTCTTATAAAATGCTACAATATAAGACATTTCAATATTCATAACATAACTATCTTATATTGTTAGTTATAATATATGGTCAAATTTAAAATTTGTCAATTTATCAAGGTTCTCTTGAACAGATTTGTTGATTGTCCAAGGATTAATGTAATGCTAATTATATATTTTTTAACCATTAAACTTAATCGTATGATTCCAAAAATAGAAAAAGTATGTGTGTATGTGAGCTAAAATTTTACCTATGTCAAAATATTTCTATTTAATAATTGGATTGATGCCTGAATTAGTGGTGCAAATTCTTTTCATAAACTTGTCTTATTTACTTCCCGTATACAATTTTTCGTTGAAAATTTCGCGAACACGGATCAATCGATTTGTATTTTTTAAACAACATTCGATAAGAAGACCTGATGATTAGTTTTTAGCCAAGGCAAGGCTATCCATTTCGAAAATATAGGGCAAAAAGTGCCAAAAATGGTATTTCGATTTTTGAGATAACGGAGCGTCCGATTTAAATAATTCAAAAAACGTTTTACTTGTATTGATAAAATGAACAATTGGTGAAATTTTTGCGAAGAGATCCAATAAAAACAGTGAAAAACAGTAAAGAACAATGCCATTTGGCGGTCAAAAATGATCATTAGACATATGTACATCGTATTATCAGATATTTTATAAAGATTATAATAATAACTACAAATTTTGTGTACATTTATATGGGTTTCGTACCAATGTTTACAAGTGTGGCAACTACACAGCGCTTACGCGCTTTGATATTTTGACTCTAAATCAGCTATGTAGCTTGATTGCTTTAAACAAATGTTCAAAATTTTCCAAAAAATTACATTTTTCAAAAGAACAAATTTTTTCAAAAATTTAGAAATTTCTCAAAAACCTAATTTTTTCAAAGTGTTTTTAAAAATTTAGTTTTTGATACGCGTTAAGGCACGATGCCATGCACCACTTATTTTAGTTAAAATCGCCTAAACTAAATTGATATAAACAAATTAAGTAAAAGATAAAATAGTAGAGACCTTGTCACCCTTCATATAATTTGCCTAGAAAATTGTGTGTGTGTGTGTTCGTGTTTTCTTGTATATACATATGCAGTGGTGTTGTGCTAATTTTTTTTACCGGAACACTAAAATTTAAAATCCGGTTCAAAAAAATTCATATATTCGATAAAAAACTCACAAATCTAATATATCTTACATAATTAACTTATTATATACAGCTAGTCTGTACATTAAATTGTAGAAGTATGAGGGAATCATCGAGTACATATTTATATTCTTTAATAACAATAATTATATTTTTGGTATTATTTGTATTTATTAATACTTACAGGTATTTTTATGATATAAAAGTACTCACAAGTTATTACAATACTTTATAAGATAACCTATACTTATCTTACTATACTATATTATTGTAGATATCTATTATCAATCATACCGTGAGATACCTATACCGTCATTAACTTATTATATACCTACATACTTTTTACTTCTTATAAATATTACTGTCTAATTTATATATTACCTATATTATATAGGTTATATTTACCTATATTACCTTACGCCCTATGTATTATCTCTACCTATCTATTGTCTATACCGGGAATTGAACCCGGGACATCCGCGTGGCGGTCGCGCACCTTAACCACTACCCTATCGGGTACCCCCATTAATAATATATTATGGGACGCATTGTTGTTTCCACGGGTCATTTTCTAATTAATTAGGTAATTAATACTATGGTGGCGCGACCACACGCGAAAAAAGACGGATGATTGTAGTGTTACGGTGGTCTAGTGGCTAAGGTTGTCGCCTGCCACGCGGCGGACCCGGGATCGATTCCCGGTAGGGTTAATGTAGCGTGTAAGGAAAATTATAGGTAATAGGATATATAGTAGATATAGGTTAGGTGTATTCTGTATACAATGTAGGGATTTGAGAGTATGTGATGAAATATAGCGTATGGTATAGATGTGATGTAAGGCGTGTAGTATAGAATGCAACGTATAGGCAGGCACACGTAAGGCTATAAAAATACACGAATAGGAACCTATGATGTACGTGTTATCGTATAAGAAATGCGAATGAATATAAGATTTAATTTATAAATATTATTTTTCTATAAGAATTTTTATCTCGGTATTAAATATCTAAAATATCCAAAATATCTGTTAATCCATCGATTACACCCTACTGCTGCCTTTGCCGTTATCACTTCATAGAAAATTAATTATTAATTTTAAACGATTGTGTGCACTGTGCGACAATAGACATAGAGCTATAAATTTTATTAAATGTTTGAGTAACTTGTGCGAGCTGATTTTCTTAAGATGTTCTTAATCTCGCAACTTACTGAATTAAAAATTCTAAATTTAAAAATATTATATAAAAATTATTATACCGCTGTCTGGAAGGGATGGCAATTTATAAATATACAGACTAATACATACAGAATTTTGAATTTCTTTAATCCGTAATATTGAGAAAGTTTGCATTAGACCTAAAAAGGGATGCTTATTTACCTAAGCTATGGAAATAATATATATGGAAAAATTATATGATTTGCACATGCATCCTGTGCTCAGTTAAACTAAACAATGATCATAATATATTTAACGAATTTTAACAGTATTTACAAATTACATTCAAATCTTCCAAATCAAGTGGGTTAAAGTCGTGTAATTTTTTAATTTGCCTCCCCCTTTGAATTTAAAAATGGATTTTTCTGTGGGGCGTGTGCCCACGTTGGGAATTACTAGTCTAGGAGTACAATTTTTTTCTACTACCAGGTTAATTTAATCTACTATCAATAATTGAGTGATCATCAATCCCACAGCACCTTCATCAGATTTTTAAAAGATCAAACTTTCTATGAATATGCATACAAATCTCAATTGTAGGCCGAAATTTAGACAAAAGTCTATTGCAATATTAGGGTAACTCTTTTGCTATAAATTGTCAACTAATTTACCAATAAATAAATGTCAATAAAACAATGATTAAAAAAATTACCAATAAATGTTGGATTGTAAAAATTTACAAGCGATCGAACGGCCTATATTTTGCCTTAGATGGCAAAAAATTCATCCAATATTAAAATATTAA